TCGCCCAGCCGGTGTGGCTCAGTGGTTGCAGGTCAACCTATGAATCAAGAGGTCACAGTTCGATTCCCAGTCAGGGCACATGCCCAGGTTGTGGGCTGAAGCCCCAGTTCGGGGGGAGCATGCAGAAGGCAGCGACTGATGTTTCTCTGTCTCACTCTTCCTCTCTGAAATAAACATTTTTTAAAAAAAGGAAGAAAGAAACTGGAGGCTCCAGTTGCCATCTGCCCAGGGCTTCTCGTGGGAGGAGCGCCATCCAGCCCCTCAGTTTACCCCACTGGAGTCGCACAGCCCGAACAGACTTTGCTCTCTGGCTTTGCATAGCTGCCTCCTGTTCCCTCTTCTCCATGAAGAACCGGAGCGATTTGCCACGAAAAGGAGGCTCACGGTGTTGCTCCAGATCGGGGTAGTTTCCAGTTCTGCTCTCAGGGGCTGGTCACCAAGGCTGGTCGGTGGCTGTGCAGCCTGGCATTGCGGGCCTGACCCTACCCATGGTGCTGCCAGGCCAACGTGTGGCCTTTGTGTTGTAAAGAAGGACGCCCCTGGTGGTTCCAAGCGGGGGAGGGTATGATTGCATGAGATTTTAGGAAGATTAATCACCCACAGATCATACCAGTTGGGGATGTCAAGGCACAGTGAGTGGTTGGGATAATATGATTATTATCGTATTGTCTGATAGGAGAATATGATTTTGAAGGCGCGGGCATTTGGAAGTGGTCATTTTCTTGCCAGACACAGCGTGAGGCCCTTCAGTAATGCCCACAGATCTGCCCAATCATTTGCCAAAGTGCCCTCTTGCCAGGAACCCTCCCACCTGGAACCACAAACCTCCAGCCACAGGGGAAGAGCAGTACCTGTCATGAGAAGGTGTGTGGCGCCCCCTGGTGGCAGATAAGAGGAAATGCCAGAGCATGCTCCCATTTCCACTGATAGGGGACCACAGTCTTGTTGAGCTGAGGGCAGGTAAACGAAGGCCCCGAGGTCCCCCGACGCTGAGCAAGGGGCATAGTCCCCATGGGTATGTGTAGATGTGCTTGAGTCCGTTCTGTCTCCTTCAGGCCACTCGGCTTCCAAGTGACAGGCAGGCTAAAGCTCAGCGCGGGAACTCAGCCCTGCAGACACGGGTTCCTTCAGAATTTACTCGAAGGATTTCCATGGCCCACAGCCTTTCTGCGGCCGCCTCCTCCTGCCAAATGGTGGGTTGGAGGAAGTGCAGGCGTGAGGGCCCACAGAACCTGAGCTCCTATCCCGTTGTGGGGCCATAAGCCGAAACCTAACTTCTCTGCGCCTCCGTTGCTTCATCTGTAAACTGGAGGGGGAGAGACCCACGTCCCAGAGCGGTTGTGAGGACCAAGTTACAGACATGTCTGAGGGCCCTGGCCCCAAGGGCACTTCGAGGAGACTTACTTTGTGTCGCTGTTGGTAGTGGCATCGGTGTGGCCAGGCAGAAGTGGCGGTGGGTCCTAGGCAGTGAGGACAAAATTAGGGCCCGTGGGGTGACCGCCTGAGCACTCGGGTGAATGAGAATGAGAAATACCAAGAAGTGGCCGACAGCTCCGCCTGCTGGGGCTGGACCTGCCTCTGGGCGGCCCTGCTGTCTCCCAGAGGCCCCTGGGAAAGTTCACCGTGGCCCTGGGGTCCTTTGAAGAGTCAGGCTGTGCCCGTGTGATAACCAGACAGAACTTCTTCAACAAGTAGCAGCAGTTTATTTTTATTGATCAGAGAGAGAAAGAGAGAGAGAGAAACATCAGTGATGAGAGCGAACCATTGATTAGCTGCCTCCTGCATGCCTCCTACTGGGGACCAAGCCTGCAACCTGGGCATGTGCCCCTTCTGTTTCATGGGTCAACATACAACCATTGAGCCACACAGGCTGGGTCATATGTATCCCATGTTTCGCAGGTTTCCTGCTGTTTATGGAGCGTGTTTTATTCATGCATGTGTGATGCAGAACGCTCCTTCTCAGGGGGGACATTTCAGCCTGTATATTCGAAGACAGAGGAACACACTTGTATCAATGGAGGGCACATGGGAGTGAGAACAGTATTATGCCAGCCCGGGAGTGGGCATTATGTTTCAGGGGCGGCTAGGAAGTGGCGGACACAGCCCAGTCTCTGTCTTCTCTAGGCTGATGCTGCCATCTAGTGGCGAAGAGCCACAGCCGACCTGGGCGCCCTCTGCACTCCGCCCACTTGGAGGGACTTAGAATGACTCTGAGTCCAGCTAAGGAAACAGACTCCTGCCTCCTGCCTAGGGGAGACCGCATGCAGGCCGCCCTCCTGGGACTCACCGTCCCTGAGGCACAGAAAGGGCTCTGTGATACCAGTTGTGTGCACCGCCTCTAATCCCCAGTGTGCAGCAAGGCAGCTCTTCTCATCTCCACGCTCCGCTGAGGTCTGGCTGATCCCAGCGGCTTCACTGTTGTCCCAGGGTTCGCCTCCTGGTCTTTCTCTAGAACCTCGGTGGCCCTGGAGCCTGGGTGCAAAGGTCCCTCTATCATGTACGAGCTGTGTGGCCCCGAGGCAACGGACTAACCTCTCTGAGCTCTGTTCTTCCATTTATAACAAGAGTATGGTGACATGGACCTTGTCAGTGGTCATGAGTGTTTTTGTTTGAGCTCAGGTACCTGGGAAGGGACGACTTGAAGAAAGACATTGCCTCAGGGCAGGTTAATAGGGGGCTGTGCCCCATTCTGAGTGCTTCCGTCATACGCAGACAAAACAGAGGACCAACTAGACCACTTTCAGTCCTAACGAGGCCGAAGCACGCACCCACGTGCACTGGCCAGCGAGACGCTACGTAGAGATCCTCGTCTGTTTCCTCGAGGTTTTATCAGCAGATCCCCCCTCGGAGGAAAGCACAGACTTCCCCTAAAGTGATCTTTCCTGTGTCACACACACAGCCCGCAGCTCCTTTGGTCCCTGCCCTGCCAGTGTTGTCTCGGCCACGGCCAGCAAATCAGGCTGTCCCATGAGGTCACGGTGGCCGCAGGTCCGTGGCCAGGAAGGGACCGGCGCTGGGCCTGGGATCCGGGCAGTGAGCCACACAGGCCGGGCTAGCACCATCTTTTATGTCAGCAGGGAAGCCTGACTCCTGAGCCACTGTTGGAACAGCAGATAGCAGCGCTAAAATCTGCAACATCGAAATGAATGCCTACCTAATCCGACGTTCTCAGAGCACGCCATTATGTCAGCTTTGTTTCTTCCTAAGTTTCATGCCCATAAACATCTCACCACATTTGGAAATAATTTGTGGCTTCAATTTTTCTTCCGTCCGAGGATTCCTGAGTTTGCACAATGGGTGCTGAGAAATCGTCGCCAACCGTAAATTAAACAAATCACATAGTGCCAAATAAAGGAAAAAGCAAAATTATAGAAATTCTTTCAAAAATGTTTATGGCAGAAAAATGGTTTGGTGATAGACGTGTCTGTATTTTAATATGCTTCATGTGATGAGGGTGAAATTCTTGGAAAGTAGTGTATGGGGGACCCACAAACATTTTGATTTTGATTGACCAATCAAAATATTAAAGGATTCGCACAGCCGGTGTGGCTCAGTGGGTGAGTATTGACTATGAACCAGGTGGTCACAGTTCAATTCCCAGTCAGGGCACATGCCAGGGTTGCAGGCTCCATCCCCAGTAGGGGGCGTGCAGGAGGCAGCCGATCAGTGATTCTCTCCCATCATTGATGTTTCTATCTCTGTCTCACTCTCTCTCCTTTCTTCTCTGAAATCAATAAAAATATATTTTAAAAATATTATAGGATACCTGCACAATACAGAGTGCTCCATGGGGTTTCCGAAAATTAGAAATGCAGGCTTTTCCCCTCTAGGATTTTAGGCTGATTCCTACAATGTGATTTATGTAATCAGACACCTCATCCTATTGATTGGAGCCGTGTCCTTGCCCTTTGACTGTGCTGCTCATGGAACGCCCTGGGCTTTGTAATCTAATCTGTGTCTCCTGCTCTTTCTCCAGGAATCCTGTTCACCATGCTGGTGTTTGGACCCGCCTGCGGGTTCATCCTGGGCTCCTTCTGTACCAAAATCTACGTGGACGCTGTGTTCATTGATACAAGTAAGAGACACCCCTCGGTTTCCGAGCGCCGTCACAAGCCTCCCCCTGCCTGGGCCTGGGAACGGAGCGGTCAGCCTGTGGTTCTGAGACCATCCTAGCTGGGGGCAGCCCTACTGTGTGCACCTGTGGTGCAGCTGGCGGCCGCCTGAGATCGGAAGGAAGGGGCACGAGTCGGGATTAGGGGGCCTGGACTCAAGTCCATGCTCTGCCAGTATCTGCTGAGGCTGAGTAGCTCCCTGAGGTGGATTTTGCCCTCATCTGTAAATGAATGGCAATGGTGATTGTAGCCTCCTCGCTGGGCTGTTGTGAGGAATGAATGAGAAACTAGACGTGGAAACTCCAGGCATGCGTGAGTGCTCATCGAATGCTGGTCCATTACCCTATGTGAGGACTGCACCTTTTTCTTTTCTCTTTTAAGAATATATTTCTATTGATTTTAGATGGAGAGGATGAGAGAGGGATAGAGCGATAGAAACATGGATGAGAGAGAGAGACATCGATCAGTTGCCTCCTGCACGCCCCCTACTGGGGACCAAGCCCACAACCCAGGCATGTGCCCTGACCAGGAATTGAACCAGGACCTCTTGGTTCCTGAGTCGATGCTCAGCCACTGAGCCACACCGGCTGGGCCAGCCACAGTCTTTTTATAACCCAGTCTCAGAAGTGACTTCTCCTTGCCTCTGCTCCATCCCGTGTGCAACACGCAGAGAAGGGATGACTATACAAGGATGCGAATGCCAAGGGTGGGGACCGCTGGGGGTTGCCTTGTCACTGCCTGCCTGGGTGGCACCGCTCTACCTCAAGCCCGAGAGAGGATGTTCTATTCCTGAGCCGTTACACGAGTGTGGAGCCCCGTGGCCTCTCTCTCTGAAAACAGCGTGCAGGAAGCAATCCCACCTCTTACTGCCGATCTATCCCCAGGATCAATAAGAACTCCCAGTCCCCGCGTTCTCCATCCATCATCGCTCGGCAGTGCCAAATGTACTGATTCACCCCAAAGAAATAATGCGGCTTTAAATCCAATCAAGTCACTGTGATTCACTCCATTAATCCCGCTGATATATTTACTTGGAGCTAATGATGTTACAAATTTCCAAGGGGGAAAAAAAAAGCAGCCTTACTTATTTATTCTTCAAAGGCCTGGGTCTGGGAAGGCTGCATTGGCGGAGTTGATTGGCCCTTTGAATCCTATTCCAAGGGGACGAGGGTCCGAGAAACAACACGTGAAGCGAGTCGGCTGCCATCTTATATGACAAAAAAGCCAGCTTCCGCCGCCACCTCACCGGAGGCCACACCAGCGGGGACAGCAGGCGGGTGGGGAGGGGCGCCCTCCCAGTGTGAGGGGAGCTGCCCGGGAGGGGGAGCCGCATGGCCAGGCAGCATGAGCCCTGGCATATGAGCAGCGGCCCCTTGAATCAAGGCCTGTGGATAAACACAATCTTGGAACCAAAGAGAACCTCAGACCTCATTCTCTCCAGCTCCTCCTTTGTGCAAATGAGGAGACTGAGGCCGAGAGAGGGGCAGGGGCGTGCCGATCCGAGGGGTGGGTCTGTATAAACCCAGGCGTCCTGGGTCGGGGTGAGGGCATTTTCACTTCAGGAGGCTCCTCCTCACGCTCCTCCGGGGCGTGAGCTGGCAT